AAATCATAAAACAGACCCGTTATACAGATACAGAAATGTTAATAGAATAGACATCCTTTATTTGTTCTACGTTTTGTCCCTCTGACAAGCCATGATCTGTTTATCTGTTCTCCATTTTTCATTTGGATGAAATAATGGCTGCATGAATCATGACAGCAGGCAAGATAGAGGCGAGCAGGAGGCGGAGTTACCAACTTGCTCTGGAGAGCAGAGTTTGCTGCTTTTAGATGTTGTCGCCAAAGTCTCCAGTAGCAGAAAAAGGTTGCTAGATTTGGCACTAGGTGCTTTTTTGAAATAAAAGTACTCGAGGGGTCTGAAAAGTTGCTAAATGTGGCAACACATGTAAACATAGTTTTATGGGGCCCCCAGGAACTTAGGACCCTAGGCAACAGTCTAGTATTGCCTGGACAAGTCGCCACCCTGGACAGGTTGCCAGCTGATCGCAGGGCAACACAGAGACAAACAATCATTCACGCACACACTCACACTTAAGGAGAGTTTAGAGAAGCCAATTATCATGTTTTTGGACTGTGGGAGGAAGCTGGAGTACACGGACGAACCCATGCATGCACAGGGAGAACGTGCAAACTCCATGCAGAGAGACCCCAGGCTGCGCCACTGAGCAGCAGAAGTAATGGCATTATTATTATTATTATTATGTTTTTTTTTTTTTTTGGTGCCAATTTATGCCATCTCTTAGCCATTTACAGAAACATTTCCATCAGATCATACAGACTGAGGAAGTTTTCTAAGAAAACCAGCTGATTGTACCCAGTCATTGACTTTCCAGGAGTGGCTCCTCCTGGATGAGCATATGGGGACATTATTATTAGCAGGGAACCTCAGGTTAGAATTTATTTATTTTGATCACTTCGGTAACACTGTTATAATTATCTTAACAGTGTGGTGTGTTTTTATGATTGCATCCAGTGAAATGTATTGATATAAACATATTCAGTCTATACATCTAATAAGAAATCAACTGCCTTCAAAAGTAAATCTGTTATGACTGAAATTAAATTAAAAATAAAAGGTACCAGATGACTTAGGTTTCACACTATGTACCTTTTTCGATCCTGCAGACTGGCAAAAAAAGGAGATTTTTGGTAAAATAACACATTAATACCCATGCACAAAGCCAAATGATTCTCTATTTTTTGGTGTATTTTCATATTTTCTTCTGAAGACTAAATCCCACTCTGCCCTATCAAAGTTCAAGGGCTTTTAGACAACCTTTCTTTTTAGATCAATGCATTTCTTCCAATTTATTTTCCTAATGAATGTATTTTACTGTTAGAATGGATTTGAGTTACTGGACAAATTTTTACCAAAAACATTACTAAACAAATTTCTGTTGCTCGGGAAACAGTCACAAACTGTGATTGATTTCACCCAGCATTTGGGTAGAAGAAATAACAAATTATTAAAAAACAATCCAGGATTTTTACTGATTCCATCCAGCATTTGGGAAGAGACAATAATGACATAATTTGATCCATTTGGGTAGGGGCCATTAACAAATACTAGTGGTTAAATTTATATAAGTTTGTAATTATCTCAACCCATAATTAGCTTATTATAACCCATTTGCTGGGTTATAATAGACCAGCCTATCTTGCTGAGTCAAATAAACTACTGCTGTTCTGGTGCTATAATAGCTGAGTAACTGGGTTATTTCCTGTCATTTTCCATCACACTTTTTTAGGTGAAAGAAAATGAATTAACTGCTGTTTAGTTTCTTTGGTTTCTAAAAATAAGTTACTTTTTTTCTTGATTCTATTTTTTAGTCATTATAAATCCATTTGTTTGGGGGGCATTAATTATTACTCTTAGAAGTTAAAAATGTATTATATTTCACTTTAAGATTAAAAGATCTATCAACACTTGGAAACTGAACATAATAGCAAACCAATAAACTGGTGTTGTTGTTATTCCACCATCTCAACAGTCAAACACTGTGGTGTTTTTCATGTAAGAATGAAACTCCCTATTGAAATGGATTCACAGGAAGGGTTAAAAACGCTGGAAGCTCCAAAGCTACATTTACATCCCAAAACAACAGGAAATGCTGCAGAATCCATCACTTATTTGTTTGTGGTCAGATTGATGGTGACTGAAAAAAACAAAAACAAAAAAACAATCTACTTCTTTTTCCTTAGTTAAAGTTTTTAAGTTTTCTGTAAAGTTAGATGCTGAAATTACTTTCAGATTAATATAAAAATGATTTCAAAGAAAAAACAATCTGAGTTCTTAATTTGATTGCTGTTTTTTCTCTTTTTTTAGGTTCCAGTTGACTGACAATCTTCCCTAACATGTATTTTCAGAATAACGGACGAACGTCGAGCTGCGCTTACCGCCAAAACACAAAATATGCTTTTATTTTGAAGTTTTACTGCGGAAACGAGACATTCACCTGTTTTGTTTTGATTATTTTGAGTTGAGTTGTAATGGATGTTAATAACAAGGTTTGAAAGTGCAGCGTGGATTCGTGGTGAAGCTGGGAAGCAGCCAGTCCTCCTGGTGTATCGGGCCGCTCCGGTTCGGCTCGGTTTATGCGGTGAATGCTCGCCTGGCCGCCGGGGTGTTGCTCCCAGCGGCAGCAGCGGAGCAGTTGGAGCCGCTGAACAAAGAGCTTTTCTTCCCCGGACCATTGTTACCGCGCAGGGCGCCTGGAAAGCTTTGGGACAAACTGCTAGCTTCAGTTCTACAGAGTCGGTCCAGTTTAGTTTAGTGTGAAGGAGCAACGCTGCGTGGAGGTGAGGAGGCTAAACTGATGCGAACCTTTAGTTTTCACATCACTGATTTTAGCCTCTAAGAAAATGAGAGTTAAGTTGGAGGAATTAAGCAAACTCAGCAACTCAGGTTTACTTTTTAGAGCGGCTGATAAACCCCACAGACTTGGATATAAACAGGAAGTTGTGCTTTAAACTACAGTAACACGCTGTTCTGTTTATCTCCAGCTGCCGCCACTGTGTGCCATGTACTCTAATGATGCACAACATTTCTGTATAAATCTGGGTAATTTCGAATTATTTTGTTTTATTTACATACTAATTTGACATATTAGTGACCTTGTTCATTGATATAAAAGTGTATTTTCTCCTTCTAGTATCGGCTATATTTATGTCACACGAAGAAGACAATATCGCTTATTTTATTGCAGGATTGTTATTTTTTTCAAGAAGATAGGGTTTGTATTTTGCTATGAGATCTGTCTATACACTTCAGTTTATTTCTATAGCTCCAATTCACGTCATGTCATCTCAAGGCACTTTACAGTTCACCAGATCATCCAGTCAGATTGATTCAAAGTTTTCTATCTAAGGAAAACCAGTTGATTGCATCAACTCATTGACTCAAAGGCAATCCTTCACACTAAGCATGCCTGTAGTGACAGTGGAGGCCGACTGGGGTTCAATGAGACAGAAGCAGATAGAAAAAGAAGCATAGATACAAAAGGTAACTGTCAACCAGCTCCACAGGCGACCCCGTCCAGGAAACACACAGCCAGGCAGACGAGCTCCGAGCCAGCTCCCATGTCAGAGGATGAAGAGAGCACATCCAGCCAGTCACAGTCAGAGAAACAGGACTACACTAGAAAAACAGGCCCTTCTCCAACATCTATAAACAAAGGTGTTGATGGCAGCAGCACAGCTGATATTTCTCTCCAGGGTGCTGTCAAGGCCAAACAGGGAACAGATGAGACGAAGCTACTACGAGAAAAAGCAGAAAGTGCATCAGGTGATGCCAGTTTCCAGCATTTTAACAGTTAGGTTTATACATAATTATAATTTTGCTTTTCCCTAATAGTTTTGTGGAATAAATGAAAACTAGAGTTTCTTCTCAAATTTGAGCAAACTCTGATCTTTAGATAGTCTGGAGGACTGTTCATGTGTTCATGTGTTGTGGCAGGTTACTCCATTGGTTCTGGTTCTCCTCAAGGTTTTCCTCTCATTAGATATGTGTTTTCCTTCCAGTGGCTGCTGAAAGCATCAGTTGAGGTAGTGCTGCTAAGTTAGTGGCTGAATGCTGTTTGCTGGGGCTCCTTGGACAGATCAGTTTTTACTAAATGACCTTTACATTGGATTTGGTGGTGCTATTTTGAATATAACAACCTGTTAGATGGATGGTGCTGTATTGTAAGAGAGTTTATTGAAAGTAGGATGATGATGACTCTAATACTCTAATAATTCTAATGTAGCCTGTTATCCTCCTTAGAGCACACCCTCCCCTAAGTTTATTCTCCTTGGAGTTAGAAAATATGCCTCAAAAAGGCTGTGTGATCAAAATATTAGTTTGCCTGATGATCATTTACGCTGTTTCTAATCTGTTTTATTTCGTGTTGCCAATATGTTTGTTTTTTGTTTGCTTTGACCAGCCTCTCACTCAATGACGGCTAGAGATGGGCCCCAGGCCCCCCAGCAACCCTGAACGGATAAGCAGGTATACACCATGGATTATGTTTTCTTTTTTTTCTTTTTTTATCAAAAAAAAAAGTATTAGAGTCTAAAAATTTGAAAAAAAATTTAAGACATCACAGCATATACACCAAGAACTTACAATAACATTTTAAGGCATTATTTAATAACTAGTTTGAAATGTAAACATTGTCTGTTACTACTTTAATATCAGGTAAAAACAACTAGATTTACCTTTGAGAAAAGTGCTTATTGAGAAAAATATTGTTTCTGTTTTTTCTGCTTTTTAATAATGAGAAACCGATATTGACTGCTTGAGTTCTCTGTGCTGGTTAGAGCCAGTCAGCTACAAATATGCTGTTCATGACTTAAAATCAGCAATACCCTAAACGAAGAGTGCTGGGTGCTTCTTTAGATTCCACAAACTTCTAATATAAAATAATAAATGTATTTGGTTTGTAATTATGCCTGCCAAGATCATTCTATAAGCCAGTTTACTTGCTGTTAGCAGCAACAAATGGGGGAGGGGCAGCAGGGGTTTTTTAACTCTCTCCGAAACTGAAAACTCAAACAATCTTTGGACCGTTTTCTGGCAGCGCATCAAAAGTCAAACAAGGGAATAGAATTGCTGGAACATTTAGAGGTTTTTGAAACCAAAACCAGATCTATAGTCACTGTTCTGTGATTCTATTGCCCTACATAGATCTACAGATCTGTAATCAGCGTCTAGGATTCTATAGATCTACAAATAGATAAACACTGGTTTGTGACTCTATAGATCTATAGTCAGTGTCTGTGATTGACAGATCTATGAGCTCTGTTTTTCTTAATCTATAAATCTGGTGGTGTAGATGTTTCACACATCTTCATGTTTTATTTTCTCCATCTTCAGCTGAACCAGTTATTTACCTATTTTTTAACTATGTCTTTCTCAGAGAAGGTTAAGGGAGATACGTTTTAAAGGGATTGTAATTTTTTACCAAGACTCTAAAAATGAGAGGGATCTCCGGTTAGGGTGCATGAAGTTGGAGTTACCTGCTGCCAGACTTGTTGCTCAATGAGCTGCAGCAGCACAGACTGCCAGGCGGCTTTCCTCCTCTGAGGTCTGCCTGATTGAGCAGAGGATGTGTTAGCATGTTTTCCTCTACCTCACTGGTTAGAGGCCGAAAGTGAAAACACGTTTTAGCTCTTGAAGAGCCTATCGGACCCATGAGGCTTTATTTTGAGGTTTGCTGTTTTGTCGACAGGTTCGGGGCGGCCTGTGCTCCAGTCATGACCTCTGGCAACGGGAGCAGTAAAAACAGCCAACATGATGGAGAGAGCAAAGCAGCCCAGCAGGCCGTAGACAAGTCCCACATCCTGACACACCTGATTGAAGGCTTTGTTATCCAGGAAGGTGCAGAGCCTTTCCCTGTGAGTACCCGGCCACGCAAAGATCTGCTGAGGAAAGCAGCTGTAAAAGATATTCATGCTTTCTTTCGCAAACAGGTCTAACATGCTTAAAGTCAGGCATGTGTTGTAGTATGGATACTTTAGGGGGATTGTTTAGTTCCACATCACTGCTGCTGGTCCTTCAGGACATTTTTATTGTTTTAGAATGCAGGAATCTTCATGGGGTTTCCAAAACTGTGGCTTGTTAGTCTCCATAGTCTGAGAGAAATACAAGAGCAAAAACATCTGGAGGAGAGCGAGTCAGAAAACAGTTTCCAAATGCAGAGGTACTGGTTTTTTGTTCATGTTACATTAAACAGGAAGAAGACTCTAGCCTCTTTCCCATGAAAATACCAGGTTAACGCATGTTTTTCAAACACTGGTTGACCTGCCAACAATCTGCTTTTGGCTCCTTCCCATTGAGAAAAAAAGCTGAGTCTAACCCCCCTGCTGGCAGCTGCATGGCCTCTGTCCCCCCCCCCGCAGCTGTGCGTCTGGTGACACCATCACACTGACTTAGCGTTGATGCTGTCACCAGGGGTCTGCTTCAAGAAGCAGGTTTACTGAAAACTTTACACCCTTTATAGGGAAAGTTAATGTTTTTGATCACTTGCATAGTAGCCCTTACAAATAGAGTCCCCCCCCCATTCCTCAGTGAGGTCTAGAAAGACAAGATTTATATCCAGTCTTTCAGTAAAGATGCTGCTACATGGCTGTGCATCTTATTTTGACAGTTGACCAATTAGATGAGCCATTGAATGATATATTGCCTACTGTAAATTAAGTTGAAAAAAAAGTTAACAATTCAAGAAAAAAGTAAAGTTAAAAAAGTTAATACAATTATATATAGGTTTATAAAAAAATGTGAGTATCAGTTTTAATGCCTCTAAAGTTATGTTGTACCAAAAAAAAAGTTTCTTTCAATTTTTTTCTTTTTTCATGAATTTCTTATAGAAGCACTTTTGTTTTCTTTCTTGATATATTCGGGCAATTTAGTGTTTCTTCTTATGACATTGACATATTTTTGCCTTCAAAATATCCAATTTTTTTGAATGTTACAAAGGTAATAAGGTCTTGTCCTGGATTCCAATAACACTTTTGGTTTGATATTTTGATTTTCTAAGTATTAAGTTAAGTTTTCTTAGCCTGAAAGATGGGAAACTGAGTTTTCAGTTTTTCAGTCACCATAGTAACACCCCTGCAGAGCTAACCTGGTCAGCAGCAGGTTTGCTCAGTAAACTCAGAGGGTCGTCTGTCTCCGCTCTCCTTGCAGCCAACCATGTTGGTTTATTTACTCATTCAGGTACAGGTTGTGGTACAGTTAACAAAAAATGATTAATTGATAAATGGTAATTTTTTTAAACAAGTAATCAACATTTTCTGTGTTCAGGGTTGTTCAATGCAAAGAAATAAAATACGCAGTCATCAGATTCCAGATGAATAAAGCCACAACTTATCAGATATTACATGTTTTTAATGTTAAAAACATGGTTTTATATGTATATATTCTACTGTTATTTAGTCCATTCTGATGGAGATGATAGGAAAAAAAAATAAGAGTCAGCAAAATTCCTTTTGTTATTTATATATTGTGATGAATGAGATTTTATCGCTGCTGCCACTGGTCAAGTACACAAAGAAAAACAGGCGTTCCTTTTCTGCAGGTGGAGCGTCCGTCGTTCTCCATAGAGAGCCTCAGGAGACGTGCAGCAGAATCAAAGATGGAAGGCATGTCTGCAAAAGGTATTCTGTTTTTCACTTAACGGCAAGATTCATGTACCCTGTGAGATTGTTGTTTATCTTAAAATCATGATCTGGTTCTGGGTGCAGTTTCATTTTGTCTTTTTAAATTGAGTCAATGTATTTCCAAAAACAAGCCTGGATATATTCTACAGTCCCAAAGCAAAGGATGCTTCAACAGAATAAGAAAAGTTTGACTTTGATTTAGTAATTCTGGATATTTATTAGACACTCTGAATTTCAGCTTTTTTCCTTCATGACATTTATGATTCGACCCGGGGAGGTGCTGAAGGTTATTTTTGATCTGGTTCTGAATAAATGGGTGGTAGTGACAATCAATCAACTTTGTCTTTAAATATTTAATGTGTTATTCAACTTTGAACAACCGAACCATCAGCAGCAGCCACCTGGAGCGAGGTTGAGGGTTTAACCCTTTAGGGCGCTGTCACATCTTGCCGATTTAGACAGCGTATGCCTGACATCTTCTAACATGCTGGCACACACTGAACTTTCTATGTATTTTTTCAAGTTTGGGCGTATACATATAGTATTAATAACGAGTCCAGAGCTTATGTCCAACAACAATCTAAGTTATGCATAAACCACAGCAGCGTATTGTCCATGAAATGATGCACATGCATCATTTCATGGGCAATGCGCCCGGAACACATCAAATACGTTGATGTGCGTTCTTGATAAATTAAATTCCACATAATTTATGCAAATGTTACTCATAGGTTTTGGATAAGCTAGACACCATTACTTATACTTACACTTACACTTAACGTATGTCAACAATCAAGTAACTTACCAGTAACTTATGGCCCACGTATAGCATACACTGACATACGTCGAGTACATCAGGTGGGTCTGATACTTGCTGTATGTCCGTGTTTATCCAACATATCCAACGTATGCCAGCGTCTTTGCCAGATTTTTTGTAAGTCAAGCATTCCCTGTCTTAAAGGAATAGTACACCCAAAACATGATTAGCCTTCATTTTCTACTCACCCCCATGCTGAACAACACTCTGGAGTACTTT